GAGCGCCGCCACGCTTCCCAAGCGGCGCACTGTAGCAGTGTGCCACCGGGCCGGCCCACAAATGACATTTTTGAATTGGACAAACTCCTTGTAGCTCGACACAGTGTATGATAAAAAGCTGATTACATTCCAAGTCACCGCAAAAGTTTTAAAAATTTAAAAAACAAAGCTGACTAGAATCACAGAGGGGCACAGGAAATTAGTTTTTTACAGCCAACTGCCACTTGACATTCGTAAATGGTCAGGCTGATGTCAGACTTTCAAGGGCCTCCTGTGCTCACGGCCCTTTGCTGGGGACAGGGTCCCTAGTGTCAAGGGGCTGGCAGCCCACAAATAGCTGGCCAAGGAAGGAGCGAGCCTCGTGCCTGGGCCTCCACTGCAGCCCTGCCAAAGCCTCAGTTCCTCGCCTGTGAGACAGGAAGATAGGGCTAGTAACATCTAGAGGGGTTGTGAGGATTCAGTGCAAGAACTGACCCCTGAACATGCCCCAAGCTGGGCACAGTTCTGGTGATCGTCCCCACGACCACACGGAAGGTGGGGGTTTCTATAGCTACCAGTCACAAAATAACCCATTCAAAGAAGCAAGTACAAATAATAATCCACCTACCAGAAGTGTTTGTTTCTCTTTACAATCAAAGTGCTTTAATCTTCTCAGTGACACTGTGATTCTTGATGAGGCAGAGAGAGGTAAAAATTAACACACATGAACTTCTTCTCATGACCTACATAATTTTCCCTCCTCTGATAATATTAGAGGGCCACAGAGCCTCTACCAGCACCAGTGTATTCACTGAAGGTGACTGTTTCTTGGCTGCCTAAAGAAGCCTTCAGAGCCGCCCCTGCGGGTCCAGCGACTTTAGCACTAACTGGCCCTGGAGAAGGGACGTGGCTGGGCCCCATCAGGACAGGCCGACCCCGAGGCCTGGGTCTCAACTCCACACCCCACCATCCACCAGGAGCAGCACAGGAGCACCGTGGGTCAAGCAACGCCAGCTAGGCACACCCAGCGCTGGCTACGTAAGGCTGCTTCGAGCAAGCTAACACGCTTATGCGTGTTCTCATCCACATCTGAGATCTGAGCGGGGAATGAGTGACAGAGACCAGCCAGGCAGCAAAACCCAGGCTTCTGAAGCAGGGACAGTCTTCACAACATCCGTGCTGAGCAAGTTTTGACAAGACTTGTGGGAAATGGGGTAGAGGAACCACTAGCGTCTGGTTGGGCTGCCTTTCAAAGCCTGCAAATAGTTTTGAAAACTGGAGCGCTGGACCACTTTACTTTAAACACTGCTTCTGTTTGGATTATTCTTCCTGATGAGTGAGGGGTCACAAGACCCTTCCCAGCCCTGCCAGGGCCCCAGGCTCATCCCGGGGCACTCCCTCCCACTCTGTCCATCACCACATTCCCTGTGGGAGCTGTCAGGCCATCACCGGGGACCAGTCACAAAGAACAAGAGCAGGTTTACCCCTTCCCTTTCGGGTCCATGTGTCCTTCGATGAAGAGCACACTGGCTTTCTTATCTCTCCTCCTGATGCTCTTGATCTGTCGGCAAATCCAAGAAAATAAAGCATCAGGAACAAAGAAGGGATTATAGATTTTGAATATTTTCTCCATCACCTGAATTAGCTTGGTGGTGAATGGCTGGAATCTGTGCTGAGCGACGCCACCAGCTCTGGGAGACCCGGGCAAAGCCACAGCAGTCAGATACCGAGAAGCTGGCCTGGGCTTTGCTTCATACATCGCACTAAGTGATTTTACATCTGAGCAGAATCAGGCAGTTTTCTGTTTTGGTCTTTTGGGTTTTTTTGTTTTTTGGTGGCTGGCCAGTACAGGGATGGAACCCTGGACCTGGGTGTTATCAGCACCACGC